GGGTGTGGAGAAACTGGAACACTTATATGCTGGCAGGGATGTAAAACAGTATAGCCACTTTGGAAAACAGTCTGGGAGTTCCTCAAAAAGCCAAACATAGTTACCATCTGACCCTGCAATTCCATTCCCAGGGATATATCTAAGAAAAATTAAAACATGCCTACACAACAACAGTATTTATAATTGCCAAAACATGAAAACAACCCAAATGTCCATCAACTGACAATGGATAAATAAAATGTGGTTTATGCATAAAATGTAATATTATTTAGCAATAAAAAACAAAATAGTGATATATGACACATTGAAAACTGTATGTTAATGAAATTGGTCAGTCACAAAGGACCACATATGGTATGATTCCACTTATATGAGATGTCCAGAACAGGCAAATATACAGAGACAGAATGTAGAATAGTTACTGCTTAGAGTGGATATGGGTAGGAGTGGAGAGGAAGGGGCAGGGACTGCTAATGTTCTAAATTTGACTCTGATGATGGTAGATGTTAACTAGACACTGTAGTGATCATTTCATAATATATACAAATACCAAATCATTATGTTGTGTATTTGAAAGTAATATAATGCTAAAATGTTAATTATACCTCAATTTAAAAAATTTAAATTTAACTGTGGTGATGAAGGTTGCACAACTCTGTGAATATAGTAAAAACCACTGAATTATACACTTTCAAATGGGTGGGTTATACAGCATATAAACTATGCCTCAATAAAGTTGTTAATTTAAAAAAAAAAATGGAGCCATCCCCAAAATGGAAAAATGATACCTCACTGGAAATAATGTCAAGCAAAGACAAGTGGGCCTTCTGTCAGAGATGTTACTATAAAAGATGGGCTCACAAAGATACATAGGTAGTGAAAAGAAGGGGCACATGCACCCCAATGTTCATAGCAGCAATGTCTGCAATAGCCAAACTATGGAAGGAGCCGAGATGCCCTTCAACAGATGAATGGATAAAGAAGATGGGCTCCATATATACAATGGAATATTACTCAGCCATCAGAAAGGATGAATAACCACCATTTGCATCAACATGGATGGGACTGGAGGAGATGATGCTAAGTGAAATAAGTCCAGCAGAGAAAGTCAATTATATGGTTTCACTTATTTGTGGAACATAAGGAACAGCATGGAGGACATTAGGAGAAGGAAGGGAAAAATGAAGGCGGGGAAATCGGAGGGAGAGACGAACCATGAGAGACTACAGACTATGGGAAACAAACTGAGGGTTTCAGAGGGGAGGGGAGTGGGGGGATGTGTTAGCCCAGTGATGGGCATTAAGGAGGGCACGGACTGCGTGAGCACTGGGTGTTACACACAAACAATGAATCATGGAACACTACATCAAAAACTAATGATGTACAGTATGGGGACTAGCTTAACATAATAAAATTAAATAAATAAATAAATAAATAAATAAATAAATAAATAAATAAATAAAAGTGAATAAATGTAAAAAAAAGATGGGTTCAATTAGTGATTCTTTTTTTTTTTTTAAGATTTTATTTATTTATTTGACAGAGAGAGAAAGAGAGCACAAGCAGGGGGAGTGGGAAACGGAGAAGCAGGCTCCCTGCTGAGCAGGGAGCCTGATGCGGGGCTTGATCCTAGGACCCAGGGATCATGACCTGAGCTGAAGGCAGACGCTTAACCGACTGAGCCACCCAGGTGCCCCAATTAGTGATTCTCAATATCAGTTCACAGACTAATACATAGAAGTGGTCCAGAGAATTTAATGACTCTTCAGCTCCATAACAGGTCTAATTCAGATTCCAGTGGGATCCAAGAATCTGGGTTTTTGTTTTTGTTTTTTAAGATTTTATTTATTTATTTGAGAGAGAGAGGGAGAAGGAGACGTAGACTTCCTGCTGAGCAGAGAGTCCAATGCAGGGCTCGATCCCAGGATCCCGAGATCAGGACCTGAGCTGAAGGCAGACGCTTAACTGACCAAGCCCCTACAAAGGTGCCCCAAGAATCTGTATTTTTGACAGGCTTCCTAAATTATTCTGATGAATAGTCAGAAGTGGGAACCACTGAACAACTACGATTATAACTCAATGATTTTATGATTCTCCGGTATCTATGATATACCTGTCTCTGGTATCTATTTTGTATTTATCTGGATCTGGTATCTCCACCTAGTATTTTCTATTCATCTGAGGATCTTAAATTTCTTAATGAAACTCATCTTTGTGAATGAAGAGCTTGAGTTTAGAAAGAGGTGGCCTCATCTGATGGATTAGAGCACCTCACATATTTTTGTTAACCTTATGTGTATCCTGTAAGTTATTTCAAATCCTTTTCTAGAAAGAAGCTGGCTTAAACAAATTGAATAAATAAAAGATCACATATATTCTCAAAAATTGTATTTCTCAAACTGACACATTTTTTTCTCAAATATTTATAACTTGATATACTTTTTATTAAAAAGCACAGGTATATTATAGAATCAAATGCAAAATAATTTTTATTAATTTTTAAGATAAAACCCAGAAGAGTCAAGGAAATTCCATATTTGCCATAGCAACTACTTTGGACTATGGACTACGCTCCCAGAATCTAAGGGTACATATTCATTCCCTCCTGCAGTTAGTACTTCAGGGGGGAAATCCAAAAAATCTAGACATTCTGCTCTCTACTCCATGGGTGATGAAACATGGAATCCCTCCTTCATTCAGAACCAAAATGGACTAATCAGGTTATTAGTGAATGTGCTCTGTGCATTTCAGGAAGGAAAGAAAAAAGGCTGAACCGAATTGAAGAATTAAACCATAGCCTGTTAACTGCTGAGGGAAAACTCCTTCAGAGGCATGCTATGCTCAGAGAAATGTCTGCGGACATGTACCCTGTCCTAATGTTTTAGCCAGATGACAATGAGCATCAAGGGCACCTCTAGGGCTGGGAGGACCTCACCAGCTGGTGGAGGGTGTACCCTGGTTGCTTTACTAGGCTTGCCCAAACCACTGGTCTACGGAGAAGTACTGGGTAGCCTAGCTGAGTGCTCAGATTGACTACAGCTAAAGAGAAAGTATTCCCCTAGATTGGCAATCTTTCTCTTAGATACAGTGTTTTGGGGTTTTTTTGTTTTTTTTGTTTTGTTTTGTTTTGTTTTGTCTGTCCCTCTTCAGCTAATCCCAAAAACATCTGCGGAAATTTCTCTCAGGGACTAAATATCAGAAGAGTGGAGTTATAATATCAACTCTGGCACAATTATATAATTCTAGGTCAATTTTCTCAATACTAAAATAGAAAAGTGGAATAAGCTGAACCTCAAAGTCCTTTTTGGCTTTTAAATTCTATGCTCTCACAATACTTATCACCATTGAAAATGTGCCTTGCAAATTTTAAAGGCAATTCCAAAAAAAAAAAAAAAAGAAGTTGTAAATACATTTCTTATCCTTTCCTTCATAGTATTCCTCTTCTTGTGTCATCCTAGCTCAAAGCCCCTTCCTTCTCCCTCCCCCGGATTTTTGCAACAGTCCTCAATTCCGGTCCTCAATCTTTCTTTAATCCATGTTGACCACATTGCTGTGACACGATTCTCTAATTATCATCTCTTTCTGTGGCTCTTAACCGAGAATTCAATGTTCTGCACAATCTTAGTCCAATTTCCCTTTCCAACCTTTCCTAGCCCTTCCTTATATTAACTTACACTTCAGCAAACCTGTCAGTACCTTCTTCTGTAATATATCACACATTTCATTTGTTTCTGTCACTCCTCCCCGCCACTTGAAATTCTATCTGCCATACTCCCCACTTGGGCTCCATTCTTCAAGAATGAGTCCAAGTCTCACCTCTACTACAGAGCCTTTTCTGACAACTTTCTTAATACATCTTTGGCATTTAGCAAATGCTACCCTCCACTGATGTCTTTACCACGGAAGAGGTCTGTAGAGATATTTCTGCCTCATTTTCTCCAGGTAAGCCCCTCAGCTTCAATAAGGGGTGAATATGTAACACACAGCATCTAAAGGAAACATGCTTAAGCTACAAATTTTTAAAAATCAACTAACAGTTTGAGTGTAATTATTAGAAATTTTGCAACAAACCCATCCTATTTTTGCCAATTGCATTTTTACAGCTGTGTTCTAAAATTTAAGATCATTCTTTAGGTTTGGTTGACACTTCCTGTTTAACACTTCCCTTTTTAAAAAGGGAGGGGGGCAAGATTTCCCAGTAAGTCATCAAAATTTTTAATTACAAAACTCTAGAGACCAAAAAAAAATGTCCAAAAAACAAAACAAAGAACATAGTTTTGAACTATAGTATAGGCATCATAGCAAAATTAAACTTGAGAAGGGAAATAAAGAGACATTTTGTCTGGTCAGACCTTTTAAACAAAATGGCACATGTTTTTCTCCACCAGCAATGTGAAACACACAATTTTTTATGTAAACCACATGTGCTCTGACGAGTACCACCACTCCTTTCCCTGCTTTAACCCCAGAAACATGTTACTTTAACTATAAAGTTTTTGGTTTTGCTTAATAAAGAACAACTTAATCTGGTCTTTAACCTTCTGATAATAATACTGAGATAATATGGGCACAAGTCCACACTGGCCACTTTCACTTCTATACAAAAAAGGCCTCTTTTCAAGAGCCAAGAAACACTCCCCTAACAAACTCTGTGATGAAGTGTTAGTAAACATTAGAAAAATGATTGCAGGCATGTATTAAATTAAAATAAAGAAATGTCTTCAACATGTCTCTTTAAGCTGAAGTAAAAATATTTTAGCCAATATGCTAGAGATTTTAATTCAAAATAGTCTGAAAGTAAAACTGCAATTGAAAAAAAAAATCTTTTCTTTAAACTATTTTGGCACATGAAGAGCTGTACTGATTTCAGAGGACAGAGAAAAAAGGGGTGGAAAAAGCCCCACATGTTCGGCAAATTTATCTGTCAAGCAATTGTCAGAAGCTAATTTTATTTTTCTTCAACAAATAAAGATCATCCGAAATGAGCGTGCAGTACTCACATGCAGAGCCGAGGGATCTGGCAGGAATTCAGCATCTTCTCCAAAGATGAAATCAGGGGGCAGCTCTGGGTATTGGGCATTGAAAATGATATCCCCTGAAAGAAAAGAAAACATCAGGCCCTTATTATTTCCTTGCTAATTTATGAATGTTTTGAGGCATGCATCAGAAACACTTCTAAAAGAAGTTTATATTAGTTTAACAAAAAAATTTGAAAAGCACTCTCTGAATGATTAATTCCTCAAATGAAAGAACTGATACCATCTTTTAAATTAATATCCACATGAGCACCTGGGTGGCTCAATCGGTTAAGCATCCGACTCTTGATTTCGACTCAGATCGTGGTCTCAAGGTCATGAGATTGAGCCCCCACCCATAGGGCTCCACACTGGGTGTGGAGTCTGCTTGGTATTCTTTTCCCCTCCACTTCTCCCTCCACTTCTGCTGCCCCCCTTCTTTCACACTCTCTCTCTCTAAAATGAATAAATGAAATCTTTAAAAACAAAATAAATATCCACAACATGCAATCAAAAAAGTTTTATCTCCCTACCACACTATAAATATAAATACCCACGTAGAAAAGCAGCCACATCCAAAGTACGTGTGGATTTTTCTATAGGAAATATGACTGTTCAATCACTGCCTGCTCATTAATAAACCTTTACCAGGAACTATTTCTCTAAAGATAAAGACCTTATCTTGAAGAAATTAAACATACAAACCTTTGGTATAATGGAAAGAATATTTGGCTTGGAGTCAAAAAAAAAGTCAGGTTTATATCCACAATTATCCTAATTATTTATTAGCTCAACTCATCTTGGGCAAATTTTAACTTCTTTAGACTTCAGTTTATCAGTAAAAGAGGATCTAATAGTAGTGATATCACAGATTTGATATGAGGATAAATAAAGATAGCATGCCTATCACAGTGGCTGGCACACTAAGCACTTAGTAAGTGATATGGGAGTACTACTAGTCATTACTAATACCATCTTGAAACACAAGACAAATTACAAAGTCTCCTTAGCAAATTTGTGTTGTTAAGTTCTTCCACCTCTGTTCCTTTCCTGTCTCCTTCTTTAGCTTTTTTTTTCCCTCTGCTCACCCCAAGAACCAGTACTCATCATTCTGCTAATAACAACCAGCAGATTAGTATATCGACAAACACACATATTGGGTTCTAGCGTTTAAGAGTATGTACGCATGTGTACATGCCCAACAATTCTATCAATCCAATCATTTTTCCTGCCCAAACAGTATCTTCATAGTGATATCCAAATTGATACACTCAGACTTCAGTTCTCATCTGAGCCTTTCTTCCTCCAACTACATACTATGTATTTCAATGTTAAACTCAGCAAGTCTTAAAAACATGCTCATGAATGTCCCTTTTCCCACTCCTCTCTTCCCCTAGCTGATTTCCCTATTTCTAGGGATTCCTTAATCTCCCATGCTGTGACTTTAGTGTCCTCTTTGACCTTACTCACACCCTTTATACTCTTAGAAAACAAGTCATCTCAGTTCTTCCTCCAAAACGTTTCTCATAAGGGTACTTCCCACTGCTAACAGCTCTATCCAGCCCAGATGACCTAGTCCATACACTCATGCATCCAATGAAAAAGAAATTGAACCCTGCGCTAGCCACTATGCTAGCCACTAAAGATCAAAGAAAAAATTCTGTTAATAGTTGACAGACTAGAAGAATTCAATTATTACCGTACCCTTTTAAATGGTCTCCTGATACAAGTTTCCCTCCAGCCCGTGATATGTACTATCACCAAGTAAATGTTCTTAAAGTACAACTTTGCCCCAAAACTTTCTAGTTCAAAAAATGCCAATGATTCGCTAATGTCAAATGGAATAAGGGCAAACCTTTCAAACTAGCATTTAAGGCCTCTGAAATATGATGTTCCTACTTACTTGTTCACCCTTCTATCTCCAAGCCAATACCAACTTTCTATTCTAGTAGATATGATCCACTCACTGCCTCCAAACTATGACACCTACTTGAAATACCCTTTCCCCTTGCTCGGGTCTTACCTATCTTTGATGAGTCCACTTAAGAACCGTGTCTTGCATGAAGACTTTCCTAATAAATCCAGTACACACTGATCATCATTACCTCTGACATTCAACAATACTGATTGATTATGCCATTCACTTGAGTATTTCGTTGTAGTATTATATTGTTTTTCCTGTTCTATTAATTTCAAAAATTCATAACAAACACATGGTATATGTGAGGCACTGTGATACACATTGTGTCCATACAAAGATGGTCCTCCTCGAGGACGTTACATTTAGTTAGGGAGACAGAAACATACACACAGAACCACAAATACAGAGCAGTACAAGGTAAGTACATATACTTGATCTTCCTAAATATCTTGCAAACATCCAGAGAATAAACATGCTTATACTTATTTCATATTTCCAATGGGTCAAAGTGTGACATACAGAATATATTCAAGAAAGGCTCTATTATGTGAGAAAACTCTACTCTCTGAATTGGATTTCTAAGTACTGACAAAAATCTACAATATGGAATAAAGTTCAGAAGAGTTACTTCCACCTCTTTCTGTAGAGAATAAATATGAGCAAGAAAATATACCCTTCATATTTACCCAAAGAAAACAAAAACACTACTTCAAAAAGATATATGCACCCCTATTTTTCCTGCAGCATTATTTACAATAGCCAAGATATGTAAGCAACCCAAGTGCCATGGATAGATGAATGGATAAAGAAGATGTAGTATATACACACTATGGATTATTACTCAGCCATAAAAAAGAATAAGATCTTGCCATTTGCAATAACATGGAAAAACCTAGAAGGTATTATGCTAAGTGAAATAAGTCAGTCAAAGAAAGACAAATACCATATGATTTCACTCATGTGTGGAATTTAAGAAACAAAACAAAGAAAAAAAGAGACAAAAGACACTCAAATATAGAGAACAAACTGGCAGTTGCCAGAGGGGCAGTAGGTGGGGAGATGGGGGAAACAGGTAAAGGAGATTAAGAGTACACTTATCTTGATGAGCACTGAGAAATGTATAGAACTGTTGAATCATTATATTGTACACCTGAAACTAATATAACACTGTATGTTAATTACACTTGAATTTAAAAAAGGAAAAAATATATACCTTTCAGAAGTTGGATGCAGAAATAAACCACATCAAAAACTAATGATGTATTGTATGGTGACTAACATAACATAGTAAAATTAAAAAAATAAAAATAAATAAGTAAATAAATAGGAAAAAAATAAATTATCAAAAGTAGTATAATCACTGCTTCTCCCTCACTTACCCACTAGCATTATCTCTGGTTTTCCACTTTACCTACTACAAATTATAAACTGACTTCAAATGTGCTAACTACAAAGCATTAGCCCAAACTAAGACTAGGAAGCATTTGTTGAGACAATATGAACATCCTGATTATTTATTCTTATTCAATTATACTCAGTACACACAATTCCTTAAGAGGACATTTACATTAGAGACATGTTTTTAGAAGTCCCACAGTTGGCTTACTTTCATGACGTTTAGAAAACAAACTCATAAAGCTAACAGAGGAAAGGCATCAAAGTTTTGGAAAAAGCCAAGCTAGAATCTATTGTGCATATTAATGTTCAAAAAATAAACAGCATGCTAAATTCCAACAGAAGTTTTGTGATTTTTGTTACTAAAGAGGACATAAAGCTGGATTTTCAATAGAAGTTTTGTTACTTTTGTTACTAAAGAGGACATAAAGCTGGATTTTCAATAGAAGTTTTGTTACTTTTGTTACTACAAGAGGACATAAAGCTGGATTTTCAAGTTCTCAGAGGATCATTGTCAGTAATACATATTTCCAAAACACTAAACATTGAAAATATGATTCAAAGAAATCCACTCTTGCCAATTCTACTCAACACTGGACTGGACAGTCTAGCCAGGGCAATTAGGCAAGAGAAAGAAATGAATGGTATCCAGAATGGAAAAAGCAAAAATATCTCTGTACACAAATGACATGATCTTGCATATAGAAAATCCTAAGGAATCCACACACATACGCACACACACAAATCAAAATAAACAAGTTCAGCAAGGTTGCAAGAGACAAGATAAATGTATAAAATCAATTGCATTTCTATACACTACCAATGAACAATCCAGAAATGAATTTTTTTTTAAATTCCATTTACAACAGCATCAAGAAGAATAAAATACTTAGGAATAAATTTAGTGAAGCAACTGTGTAAAATTTGTGCACTGAAAACTATAAAACATTGTTGAAAGACATGGAAGAAGGCCCACATAAATGGAAAAATATCTCATGTTCATGGATCAAAAGACTTAATATTGTTAAGATGGCAGTACTACCTAAATTAATCCACAGATTTCATGTAATCCCTATCAAAATCCCTACTGGTTTTTTTTTTTTTTTTGCAAAAATTGACAAACGAATCTTAAAAGTCATACAGAAATGCAAGGGTTCCAGCATGACCAAAAAGCAATCATGGAAAAAAAACAAATTGGAAGACACATATTCCAATTTCAAAATTTATTTCAGAGCCACAGTAATCAAGAGAGTGTGGTACTGACATAAGAACAAAGGAATAAAATTCAGAGACTGGAAATACTTCCACATTTATTGTCAATTGAATTTTTTTATTTTAATTGAAGTATTGTTGATATATAATATTAAATTAGTTTCAGGTGTACAACATAGTGGTTCAACAATCACTATATATACTATTGTATACATATCACCATGATAAGTGTACTACAATATTATTGAGTATATTCCCTGTTTTATACTTTTCATCCCTGTGACTTATTTATTTTATTATAGTGAACTGATTTTTGACAAGGCTGCCAAGACAATTCAGTGGGACAAAAAGAGTCTTCTCACCACCTCAAACTCATAAGAAGTACTACTATTAAAAAAAGAGATGACTACTATAAAAAAAGAGAGAAAGAGAACATAACAAGTGTTGGTGAAGGTGTGGAGAAATAAGACTCCCTGTGCACCACTGCCACGAATGTAAAATGGTACAGCTGCTATAGAAAACAATATGGCAGTACCTCAAAAACTTAAAAAT